TTATCTGGCTTTCATCCATCTGGCTTCTTAGCTCCCATACATTTTCCTGAACTTTCAAAATCTTACGATTTATTATTGAAACTGCCTGCTGCTTTAATTTAACTATTTAAGTAACGAATGATTCTCAATACCTTCAGGTAATTGTGTCCATTGTACGCAGTAATTTTTGTACTCTGTTTGCTGATGAAAATTAAATGACTCAAACATTTAGAGGGGTGCAGTGACAGGTTTAATAAATCTTGGGACGGTGTGCACCAGGTGTACAAACAATAACGATTACTTTTGCAATAGAAAACATCACTGAATGCTGGGAAAGATCAAATTTGCCTAGGTATAAAGAGAAATTTAGCTTTTTATCCAAACAACTGTATCGTGTTTGTTCTTTATTGCGAATTATAAAATCAGAGCACGTATAGGAAAACAGACAAATTTGTTAAAAGAAAAGATTATAACGCCTAGTGATAGGTGCCAAATAGTTTATGATTACTTTTCCGGGAACCCGATAATGTATTCTGCAAAACATTATTTATGACAGGCGGGAGAAAACACCTCCTCAAAACTCTCCATAAAAGTTAATTTCAGAGAATTTATTTAAAAAAGAATGCTTATTCTAAATATGCTATGCAGGTTAATGGACTTCATATCGGTACGCCACTAGGCGGTGGGTTGAACGCAGTTGTGCTTTATAAAAATTATAACCTTTATCTGCGAATTTCTCTGATGATGGATTTAAGTGAGAATCCGAAACGTCAGGCTAATAAATTTCTTGTTCCAATGATCGCATCTCCATCTTCTGAAACTATAACAGCGTGACACCTATTACTGAGGGTGTGCACCATGTGATCTAAAACAACGTAGGCGCAGGGCCGGCGACTTGTGCCTAAATTGGTTTGTAGCAATGATAGAACTGCATTTTATCTATCACGATCTCTCCTTCCCCACATTGCTGAGGCCGGTTTTGAGAAAACATCACAGAAAGAGCGGCGAGATCGGGTGAGAAAGATTTATCTGCATACGTAGCCACTCTCTACGGGGTGATTCTAGTACAGACGGCTAAAGAGAGCTCCCTCAAAAGTCAGCATCATGAAATGACCACAGCTTCTCATGCAAAAAGAATTAATATGACTACCCTACCAAAAATATATTTTTCGAAACGAAAACGTAACTTAGAATATCGGGCACCATTTCATGAGACTGCGTATCTATTGTATCTTGTGCGGTGAAGTTGCGGAGAATAATAAGATAAATCCTTCTGATCGTGAACTGTCAGACAGAGATTAGCAGCGTTGGAGAATAATACGAACTATCCGTCGAAGACTTCCTCAAGAGCGTTCCGTTTAAGTTTCAGGTTCGATGAGGCCAAAAAATCAGACAGGTGGTATCAGCCGCGTCCGTGCTGTAGTCACAATTCTCTTAACCGCAGTTCATTAACTAATGTAATGATCTTTCTCACTAGCCCACTTCTTGGCGTCTGCCCAGCGCGGGTACATACATCTCCTAATACCAGTAGTTAGTAAATAAATTCCCAACCACCCCTCATGTTATTGTTTAATATCAGGGATAAAATCAGGACAGTTTCCTATTCAAATGCGGACTGTCAGTCTATCACAGCATCATGTGGTTTCATCCGCAGAGAATACGGATGTCGTCGTTTATAGGGATTACGCGTTTGCATGGCAACAGAGCTCTCTGGGTTGCCGTCTGTGATGACGTTTTCAGGGTTAAATACGAAACGTCGTGTAAATGACAGTCTTGTTACTGTGGCGGTTTACTTTATAAAGATTATACTCTTAATACTATTTTTTATTGCAGCCGTGTGCATCACGCAATTCCAATTATTTACTAATGAAATGATGACGTAAATAATTCACTGCTGTCTCGAATACTGATCATTCGTTGGAGATAAGAATTAGCTTACAGCCGCGGTGAAGAGTCCTATACCTGAATAAAAAGTGATGCTTGGTCAGCAAAATACCGGATGTATTCATTCTCTCGTCGGCAGTTTCTGCATTGCCAGAAGCAATGGCAGCAAATGAAACTGGATTTATATATCTAGTAAACTGACTTATGCGTTTTTGATTTGAAGTACGAGAATAGATACCAGAACCATCTCATGAAGCGCGTCTGCTGAAAAAGCGGAGCCTCTTGATCGTGTGGAAAACATTTCACCCTGGAGTACTAACGGATTTTTTCAAATGACGTCCATGTTATATACTTTTTATTGACTGGTTAAGACCATCTGCTCTCATATTTGCTAGATAATCCAGTAAAAATTGTAAACGCATTTATTCTTATCACATTGTGTGTGAACCGTTAACGTTTGAAGAAATTCGTAAAAACGGTGTTTTGTTATTGTTAAGTGCTTATTTTGTACTTAAAATAACCCGACAATAACAGGCTTCCAAGTATGCATTTCAAATTAAAGTTTGTTGGAATACAACAATCTGCAAAAATTCCTCAGAACGGGATTATCCCACACGTTATTCATATAAGTCGGCATTTACCTCCGTTGCCATGAAGAAATGCAAGGCTGACTTACGATACTTCAGACATCAATACAAGGTTAAGTTACCTTTCGGATTGGTTTTTTTGGTGCCTGTTTCAGAAGCACTTGGAATGGAAGCATTTCCTAATACTGTAGGAGCCTTTGCATAAATTTAAAATTACGCAGAAAATGTTTACTCACAGAAATAAATGATACAACACAAGTTTTCTGATTAATAATAGCTCATGCTTCAAGGACATAACGAATTAATGGGTGTAAGTAGGAACGGCTTCCATAGGAATAGCGCCAAGTCAAAACATGGCTGCAACGCGACCTCCTGCAGCAAATTAGTTTGGGCTTTCAAGATCCGTATCGTCAATCTAATGCTCCTTTTCCTGTTTTCAGAAGAACTTTTCGTTATGAGACTGTGTTTACTCAATTTATCATTCGGACATATAGACCTGAGTAGCTTTTAAAATGTCTGCGTTTGTGATTCGTTCGGCGGGGCTGAAAAGCGTAAAAAGCAAGGAAGACAAGGGCGATGGTAGCATGGTCAACAAAATGTTTTGCAAGAGTTGCACATAGGTGCCCCGGAAAGCACTGTCAGTGACGCGCAAGAGCGCTGTTTGAGACTGCTTTTTTGCGATAGCTGACAAAGGCGTTAGCAGAAATACTTTTTGCAAAGGAAACCAGTACTCAGTCAGTATGGTGCAGGGGAGTTGCGCACATACTTGCATTTTTACTCTGAACCAGGAAAGAGATTATTTCAAAATCGGCCTATAACATGGACGAAAATTTAGGTTTTAGTTCAAATTCCACTCTAACTATTTAACTGACGCTTTTTTCTTTAGTTGCAAGCCCAAATTGAAACATATTTCGGGAACCTGGGGAGTATCATAATAGAGATTACCACATTTATGAAAAGAACTTTAGGTTGGACACGCGAATGTGACGCTCCCCAGTATCATGTATGGCCTTGTGCTATATCATAGAGGGTTTCGAGTCCTTTGTCTGTACTTTAACCCAATCCCGCTTAATCTTAATCTGTAATGGGGAGGTCAATTTTCATACATCCAACCGATCTTGGAAAACACTCACTTGTCAGGCAACCGCATTCCTCAACGTGTTTTCAATTTTTATCCGGTGACGAAACCAAACTGTTCAATACTCTCATGTATCTTTTGCTCTTATACATATAGAGGTTTGAATGAAATTGCCTAATAACCATCTTCTGCTTGGAATAGCCAAGGAGACCTCGTTGAATTTACGTAAGTATAGAAAAAACCAGCAGATTCACACACAGTCATTTTCATTTACCGATACTAAGAGGCTTCCAGGCCGAGTAAGCGTGTGTACCTTTGCAGGTAGACATTCCGACTTGGACTTTATTTTTGCGGAATTTTGCCTTTGCTAAAATCGTAGCTGCTGAAACTAAAATCTTTCAAATGCAGGGATCAACGCCTTTTTAGACCAATTTTGACGAAGAATGCTGAGCCGTTATTTGAAACCAGATGTACATGCCTTTTTCGTGACAGGTTTTATGGCTGGATTCATCAAATATCTCCACTGTTAGTGATGCAGTCTCATAAGATCTGCTTTATCAACACCTTTGAACTTAGTATCTGCCACTTTATCTGATGATGCGTTCAATCAGGAATCCAAAACGCCAGGCGCATAAAGTCCTTGTTCTAGCGATCGTGTCGTTTTCATTACGACTGTTTACTGGAAATTGTTTCTTTGCCTCTTTTGGCAAATATCTTCCCGAATAAAATCAGTTTTCAAGTGTTCCCTTAATGTACTTCACTGCTCACGGACAGTCCGGCTCAAGCGGGTCGTTGTGAGGAGACAGCGCAGTTTATGATCTCAACCGGCTTATCGCTTTCTGAAGATGGTAGACGAATTCTGCATTTCGAGCACCCGAATATTGGCTCGAGCAGGCAACCAAGGCGAAAGAGAACTCCTGAAGTTCAGGGTTCCTGAGACCAACAACAAGATTAGACACGTCGATGCACCCCCACTTTTATCACGTGTCACATTCAAATGGTTAAATGGTTCGACCCAGTTCCCACCCTAGGGCCAGTATTATTTAAACAACATTAATTCGGCCTATTCACTAACGCAGCCATCCACCCTTTGCTCTTGTACCGCTTTTCTCGATATATTATTACAAACGGCCCACCTGTTGTCACACCTTCATAGACACTGAAGATGGGTTTTGTACGATTTCGAGATCTCAGGCTAGTGTAACCGTTTCTTCAAGGATGACATTCTTTTTCACATTTAATAAGAACCCCGAACGCTCTACCTCGCCCCTCTTCTCGCTAAGGGAATGTTTTTAAATTCTGCTCTGTTTTTATCAGCCATAATGGATTTTGATTGGATCATCGCGCTATCCAACGATTGGTCTAATTCGCCCCTTTAATAATAACACAGCTCTCTGTTTGAAGATAATGTCATGAGATAGTTTTCTTATCTTGAATATATTCAACCATGAATTTCCTGTAAAGTGCTAGAAATGTGCGGTCCACCAGCATTAAGACTGTTCATGCTTGACTCCGCTGTGACTACTTTAATTGGATTAGCGCTGATACTTTGTGTGATAAGCCTTTCCGCGAGTCTTTCCTGGACATTATCAAGCTCTCCCGTCAGCACTTCCTGTGTGCACGATTACGACTACATCGGTAATGCTATTTAGCTGGAAATATTTGCTCTAGCGCTTAGACGTTAGATCACTTACTCTACGGTAAAATCTCCTTTAACATCAGCATAGTCTTTAATGGACTTGAACGATTTTTTACTTAAAAAACCATAATCTCTTCCAGTATGGTCAGTGAATAAAAGAACCTTAAGGCAATACAAAAAAATGAATTGGACGCGTACGTTATTCCTTTGCTTCATGTGGTATGTATAGTTTGTGCTTTTAGAAGACGAGTAAATTTCACTTAAGAAAAACCGGATAGAGACACGTTTTAATTATGTCGTTTTCGGGCTTGTCTTTAGCTAGACTGTAAAAAATACTACTCATGCTCTGCACCTTTATGCCTTAAAGTAGATACTGTGTTGAATGCACGAAATCTTACCATGAATGCGGACTATGTTGCATAATTCACGATGGCCATCAATAAGCAGTTAACACAATGCCAAAAGTAGTGGTAGTAAATTGTACGTATCTCCCCATGGACTTTCGGTGGCCTTATAAACTTAAGCGTATTCTATAAAAACCACGCATTATTCTACTCATTTGGTTGCCAAAACTAGTCCTCTCTACATTTTGTGACCGAATAAATAGTTCCTATTTATTTATGAACTTTCTTGTTGTAGGATCTTTAAGACCGTAAAATTTCCATTTATACGGCATTATACTTGCCTGTTTATCGATGTCCATCATAAAATATACCAAATAGTCCGCATCCATGGCAAGATTTTGTAAACTCTCTTTAATGGCCTAGGGTAACATATAACTGTTCTTTTGCGGCAAGTATACACCGTCTAGACTGGAATCGCTTAACAATGGTGTAAAGGCTGATTTGGCTCAAACGTTTTCGGGAATTAATACAGTTTTCAAAACCTAAAGACGCCCCGGCTCCGGGTACAACATGCGCAGATAATGTGATTTTCTGTCAAATATTGTTGGATAAAGCATACATTTTCGTTTTTTATATGACAAAGTTAAATTCATAAGGTCATTGAAATTTAGTGCGAAAGATGCACACTACTTTAGTAGCTATTTATTTCCACGTGACGTTTTTTAGGAGGTTGAACAAAAGGGCATCTAAATGCCAATATTTTGGTAAATCTAAAATATTCTACTATTATTTCGTTTGTTAGTTAATATTACAACCTCACGTAAGGAATCGATCCTTATGGAAGTCGCATTCCAGAGTTTCGACTAACAGTCATCGCATTTACTTGGTAATATAAAGAGTTAAGTGGCATGCATATAGTATTTATTATGTTAAGTTACCTCACGTTTATACTTTAGCAAAGATTTTTTAAAATGACGAAATTGTTTTTTTTTCTTTAAGCCGCATTTACCACAGTTCAGAGGTTTGCCATTGTTGCTTGTGTGAGTTGCCTTATCTCCTTCATCCTCGGGGTGCTTCGTCTGCTTATACATCGGATTGCGAATCACAAGCGGTACAAGCACATGTTCTTTTTCGTCCTCGGCAGCTCTTGTAAGTTTCCAGCGTTTACTAATCTAATGCTATTGTTATTATTGTTTGTTAAGATCACAAATTAATTTAAAAACGTCTTCATCTAACAAGGTGTAATTTTGACTGTTCCGACCTATCTAGAGACAGGAAAAAATTCCTTACGAATAAGCTGAAACAATGCGTTAGGCGTTTTGTTTTGGCAGGTAAAACTACTCCATATGACGCTATCTGTACAACTTAAAAGCTGTTAATTTTCCATTTGTTTAAATTACGCTGCACCCAACTTTTTCAGAAGTTTTCCCTAGACAGAATGACAAAACGAAGTGATCTACATATCACAAGCCCATCTAAGCAATCCCCACATTATTGGAAACTTGCACTCGTGGCGGCCACTTAAATGCGTTTTCCGATGCAATATACCAAACAATGTGACTCAATTAACAATGCATTAGAAATCTCATTAAACATGGTTTCGACAACTCATTTGCTAGATTATTCGTTGTGGCAAACTAACATGGACTTTTAAACACAGTTTATTAAGGTTTTTAATTTAATTAAAGGAACTAGCATCATTATGCCATCAAGTGTTTGATGTGGCAAAACATTTGCTCAAATTAATATAGACGATGCTTAGAGTATTTCGAACTCAGGTTGAAAAGTCCCACATGTGCATGCCCCAATAAAGAGAATACGTAATTATTTCGACATAAACTAACACCTGTATATCCGTAATGAAATTTGGATCGCTGAGTTTAAAAGTCTTGATTTTAACAATGCCGTGGCTACTCCCCTAGCTCAAATATTTGTACGTATAGTTGTTGAGTTATGTGAATATTAAGGCAGAATTGCATTACCAACGAAGACGAGGAAGACTGAAATGGCCGTTTCTGGCTTATTAGTCGTCGCCAGCCAGTCGCATCCCTGTACCATTGTATATACACCACTGCAACCGACAGGAAAACGAGCTGGCTTCCTAATGGCTAGAAAAGTTGGACTTCTAGCCAACAGGTTACAAAATCGAGCCCCAGGTCTTTCACAAATCGGGATTGGATGTAACTGGCTGACGACGGCCAATAAGCCAGAAATGACCACTCCAGTCTCCTTTGTCTTTGTCGGTAGTTTTATTTTGCATATAGTGCGTGCCATCCTACTGCGGTCGTTTAGGCTTGAGAGGAAGTCTCAAGGCACAAGTGGAGGAAGGAGTTCTGCAAAACGATCGCTGAGCACCATACTACCATTATATATATGCAACAATTTGCGAAATGAAAAGCAGGGGCTTTAATCGTAAAAACAATAACTTTCCTTGCTCGGCCTTTCGGATTTTTGCTCGAACCCATTATTTGGACAGCCATAGGTAAGAGTAGTGGACGTACATGGGTGTAGTATATATGAATATACAAAAAGTGTATTGCACACATATTCGTTGGTAATTGCTCTACACGCACCTGTTTACCACGATTAAAAGCCACCTAGTCTGTCACGGTGGTTATAATTGGTGCAATCATTGTTCATCTACATCCCTATCGATACTTGACGCAGTAGGGACACTGGTATTGATTAATGACGTGAAAATTACTAGCCAATTCCTCTCGTTAATACCTTTACTGTATTCGGCTTCCACGTGCGCTCCGTCTAGATGGATTTTCAACGCTGTATGGAAAGGACGGTCATTGCACTTGCCAGTCGATTGCCTAACGGATGCCCATAATTGGCATGGTGGTCACCCTTCGCTAGTACTTTGTAATCGTCGGACTAGAAGATGTAACTGGAGGTTGTCAAGTAAACTGTGACTTGAGAGCTGGCGTAATTTCTTCTTACTGCTGCAGCATGTTGGGCTATCTGCGTCCGGGGCAATCTGCCGTTCCTCCGACGTAATTGCATTTTCAGCAACTACACTAAACATGTTAAATGGTTCTAGACTATCCTCACTCCGGTGGTGGAATATTTAGCCTCATTACTTGTTGACTGATATTTGCCTCTGGTAAGTGTGGAACTCCAACTCCAAGTGGTTTCTGAAAGCGGCAAGCGTCTTCTGAGACGTTCTTACATATAAGAACGCATGCCAAGAGTTTTGAAAAGATGTAGCCAAGCCTCTTCTTTCCTTTGCTCATGCAGCTGCCGAAGAGTCTGCGCGAATTGTCATTCGTCCTAAGTGGGCCTGTGGTTTTATAAGGGCAGCCATAACTGATTCAAAAACGTAAGGGCTCCAGATGATCGCACATGCTGCTATCGAAAGGCAGATGCAAAGCTCGAGTGGCTCCTCCTGTTCCAATTGCAGTCCAGTCCCAGAAGGACATAATATGAAAATCGACCACCGGTTTCTACTAGACCGGATATAACGTTTTGTTGAAATTCTGCTCTGGAAGACTGGAAACACTTCATCTTAAAAGCGTTTTGCACAAATGACAATTTTAAGACAAGCATAGGCTTGCTTTCGTAGTAAGATATCAGCATAATTATAGGCGCTCTTAGCTTAATATGTTAGGTAATCATGCAAAGCTTTCATCGTCCTTAGAAACGTAAATGGCACGTATGGTTGAAACCCTAAAATAGCTAACAGGGCCGTTTGAGTTCTCGAGTATCTGGCCATTAATAACTTCTCCTCCTATTAGGACGACCAAATAATTATCTGTATATAGTTTCCATCAGCTGGAGAGACATTTGGGAGAGCATGCAAGTCTTTCTGAAAAATGCACACTGGTATCTGGGAGTAGGCCAAGGCGGAACTCAATGTTTCAGCGTATGGAACTTTAACAGGGATACTGTTCTGTCTCTGATACTTTTTCAAGCTCACCAAAGTCCTCTCTCATGAGCTTCTTGCGCTCGGACACGCACTACATGCAGAAATGCAAAAGAGAGCATATTATCAGAAATAAGATTATCATGTTCAGCAAACCCTGGGAGAAACAATCTGCGTATTTTGACCCAAGTAACAAACTACTCCTTCAGACCGTGCGCGTGTAAATGTGCAGCCGCTCAACTGCGTTAGGTACATCAAGTGAAACTTTTGTTGACAAAGATATCTAGGATTCTCTAAATCCGCATGGTTGACATTTCGTCGTCAATGATAAAGACTGTGTGGCTGAAAGTATCGCACAGCTTCTGCTGCAAAAGCAGTTCACCTGTGTTTTATATTTCAGTAACACCGGTAGTTGATATCGGTACCCCAAGAACAGAGGCCAGAAAGACGTCAGATATCAACTTCACATATTTCCAATTCTAGTCACGTATTCTAAACAGGAAAGAGAGAAAAAATGTTGATTATGCAGAATTCCGCAGCTATTTACAATAGGATGATTCCAGAAAATTATGACAGCACTTTTCTCAAACTCGGAGGGCGTCAGTAGAGAGATATTAACAATGTCCGCAAGGATTTAAGTCCCTGAGTTTCTGACAGGAATAAATTCTGACTAATTCCGCCTGGTTGGGGGAAGTGGCTAAGTACCTGTCTTTACTGACGTTGTATTGCACTAGCATTAAAATGTCAGCGAGATTATTGCAGCCTTTAACACTAACTGGCAGCATGAAGTAGAGCGTTGGGACAGTCGGTACTCGTGGAGGAACGCTGTGCCGTTTGTATACAATATTGTCCTATTTTAGGGATAACTCCGCTTTCAAAGGGATACGCGAAAATGTAGAACATGATCAATGATTGCTAGATCTAAGCGCGGACTGCGCAGTCAACTACGACGTATACACAAGCCTAAAACTGACAGTTTGACCTCTTGAGTGAAAAAACGCTTCGTTATCGAACATTGTGCAAATACATCTCAAAGGCCATCATTTGCTGTTTTTATATTAGTAAACATTACGTCACATGTTTTACGGGCATAATCCCATACGTATATTTCAGTATAGCTTAACATTAACTATTTCTGTTATTCGCGTGTGTCTTTAGGGCAAACCTAAGGCTGTAACCGAGCTCCGTACACAAGTTAATAGTAGTTATTTGTTTCAAAGGGTTCTAAATGTGAAAATCGTCTCCCAGCACATTCAATGCATCAAATTTGAAGACGGTTCCTACTGTGAGAGTTCCACCGTCGTCTTTGACGATGTCCCCCATGTACCACACAGAAGGGTGAGAACAGGAACGGTGACATGTGCGTGGATTAGTTTGTAGTGATAGAACACTTGCCCCGCATCTACCGCACTCTCTCCTACCTCACCTGTTCCCGGCGTCAAGACAACGTCAAGAATACCGGCCACCGGAGCGGACGTAGGTGGCTAGCACGAAGTAAACCCGCACCCGGGCGTACCACCACACTCCTTGGTCCACAGCGTGTACTGACCAAGATTTCACACACAAAACGGGAAGATGGTGCGTCTCGAATCCCACGAAGTTGGCGTGCCACAGAGGTCACATAAAGAAGGAACCACTGCAACCTTACCCGCGGACCGCCAGTTTTCCAATCCACTGAGTCGACTGCATATCCCGCGTTATTCCGTCAGTTGTGAACCTTCCAAGCCACGGCTTTAGCGCGCAATGATGCACTCAGGGCTGTCAGATTGTTTATAATGAGGAAAAATGCGCTGAGCCATCGACCTCACTCTTTGATACCACTCTACGAGCTGGTCACTTGTCTGGTGCAGTGAATGAATGCAGTGATTGGCACACATGTCACATACACGTCCCAACCACCCGAAAACAAGCACCAGGATATTACAGCTAAGGGGATGTGCGGCAGTCATCTCACATACGTGAGGGTTCATGTGGTCGTGTCAAGAAGGGCCGTTCGAACCTGATTCCAGCTCCACTAGCCAGGCACTCCGCAAAAACCCAGACTGAGCTGACTGAAAGGCCTAATTTCTATCATCATTCGGCGGCCTTCCAAGCCGGAACAGTTGGCACACCGCGACAGTCTCAGGTTCAGATCACACATGCAGCAGAGGAGCCACATAGAGAAGCAGCCGAAAAACACAATTCGCACTTAAGTAAGTGGTGCCAATTGCGTGCTTGTGTTGTGGGATCTTGGGTGTCGTTATGTATAGTATATGTGCCGGTTAGGAGGAGTAAGATGGAATGACTTAGCTGGCGGCGTTCTACCGCAGATTTTCGTGAATGCGCATGTGGCCTAATAGGCCCATGTGGCGGCTGAATGTGCCTGGCTATTGTCCGCAGTGAGAGCGACGGTGTCTAGTATATTCCGGCGTTCCAGGTATTGGTTTGTCAGTCTCTGTGCGTTGGATTCGCAGGTGACCGACCATTTCCTAGTGTCGGAATGCCAACTACCCCTGGCTTGCGTAGTTAAAGACACTTTTATTAAAACGCATTAGGATGCGTTGGTTAGCAATGCAGTTTCACTCGTGGGATAACAATGACATTTTGGAATACTTGGAAGATCTTCAAACGATCGGTAGTAGGGTTCTCCAAATAGAACGAAAGTTGCGCAGCATGTTCCTCTTTCTAGGCACTCATGCATGCAAGGCAAATCGCCGCAAAACAAACTATGAGTGACAGCAAGAAGAGAGCGTTGCAGTGGTGACAGCGGGGTCCAGAAAAATTTGGGCCGAAAAATGACAGCGAGTTAATACTGCGCATTTAACCACTCGGGCTTGGCGTTTGTAAATCGTGATTAATATCTGCTAGAGAATTTCACAGAAGCCAAGTTGACTTTAGAAAAATTGAATTATAGAAACATTAAGCCAGCGCACCTAAAGTATTTTCAAAAAGGCAATCAAAGCGCCGCAGACAAGCACAAAACCAGGCCTGCGCATTTATGTTCATTAGACAACAGTGAAGAAAAAGTTATCTTCTCGAACGTTGTTTAACTTTTCTATTTTTAAAAGCCTGCCTGTCTGCCTCCAAGTAAAATCGAAGTTCTTTAACGGTCGACTCTCTTGCAAGACAAGCACATGAGCATGACTTGCTAAGCACTGATTCTAGCCAAGAAAACAGAAGCTAAGTAGGAATCGGCGTCGTTGCTGAGGCGACTGTTTGAGAGGTACAAACCTAAGTTATGGGCAAGTCAAATTGACGGCACCTCCATAATCATCGATCAGGACAAAATTGAGTAATACGCGGAGCAAGTGAACTCAATCATCCCCATCGAACACGCACCAAATGCTCAGTTACAACAGCAGCCACCGACTGCAGCACAGACGAAGCTGTGTAGGCACGCTATACTGACGGGGAGAAACTCATTGCAGGACGCCAGCCGGCCAAACTGGACGAAATGAAGCTTTTTCGAGAACTCTGTAAAACCATCAGCTATCCTTAAGCATTCGCTGAACCCAGCCTAAGGCAACGAAGAACGCGATACGAAGAACATAGTCAGCCAAAATTGTAGCGGGGCATTCCGTACATGAAGGGGGTCTCCGGAGCTGCGGTTAGATCCCTAGTGCTACGCGAAGTAGGAGTTGGCCACAAGCCTGACTTAACAATTCACCGACAAATGATGCGGCTAAAAGACTCGATCCCTAAGGGGGAGGTCTAGGCCGTTTTTCTACCGACTTCAGTGCAGCTGTTGGATATACAAATATATTGGAGTAACCGACCGATGGTTGCAAACGCGAATGCACGAGTGCAGGTTGGTTGTGCGAAGGTTGGGCCCAAATTCTGAGGTAGCAACGCACGCCCCACAAATTTGACAAGTCTTTAACTTTGACGTGGATGGGATATTTGGCCGAGGCGGTGATCATACGGCAAGGCGGGTACAAAAAGCCTAAACGCCCATTGACTGCTCTATCTACCGCCACATTAATTTGTCTTTCTCCTATCCAATTTTAAGAACTTTCTTGATGTGGAACAGTGACGGTGCGGGACAATCGGGGCCAGTGAGAGCAGGGGTGACTCAGGTCATGGTGGCATTCGGGTCGGATGCAGCCGCACAGACGGCCTTGACCGGCCACGCACCAAACAAAGCCCTATAAGAAAACTGCGGGAATAACTTCCTACTCTCTGAAGATGGGTGGAAGTAGTGACTACTGGTAACGTCAGATCAGTAAAAAGCGTCTCCTCCACTTTTGATGCCTGGTTAGTGTCCGGGCGCATTTGCAAAACCACATACAAATTAGGTACGCTACCAACTTTTATCTCGGTCTCTTGCATGAAGCATGCTTTGTCGGTGGGTTGTGCCAATACGCTGTGGAGACCACATGTATGTAGTGACACGTGATGCAGACCGACATGGCGATAAATCCGTCTCATCCAATCGTTGGTATTCTTGGGGAGTTTATTCATCTTCCGCAGCATTGCTTTTAGGTTTTTATGCCGTACGGACTGCGTAGATTAGAGGACTTCAGACCAATCGAAAGTCCTTCCACCGACTTTTTTTAAAAGAGAAGTCACAAAAATCATAATGCCTTAGCACAAATTGTTACTGAACGCAGATGAAAAATGGGTTGAAAATCGCATAAAAATATGCCTGCTTTTGTTGGCATGACATTTCGTGCAATAATTGATATTTGTCACGCGACCCCTGAGGAAAACTCGCTTTCCATACGAACCGGAAATGCGCAATCTCGTTCAGAATTGATGATATATTGCTCCACACCACTACCCTGTGGCTATGAATAGAACTCTTGTGCCCATCGAAATCCAGTGACAGGCAGAAGTAGAGTGGTAAGGTAGCCTATGTAAAAAGCACTGTGAAAAATAGCAACGGGAGTGTAAACGACTTACTTACCAAATGACCATGACCAAGTCGAATTTATGAGCATGTACAAAAGATGAGACGACATTATTTACCAAGCGTGACAGGTCATCGAATAAGTGCTGAGTTGAAAAGGTAAACGTTTCCCTCCGACTTTGAGATATATTACAATGAACAGTGTCGCCTAATTCCTCTCATGAGATATTTGACGGCAGCAGTTGCGATAACTTTATGTGCAGGTGATCTGATGATGGCATTTTGGGATTTCAGACCTTTCGACAAAGTCTGTGAGTATCAGCCAGCTGTCTTATATTTTGGTACTAAAAACTGCAGTTTACGATTGCTTACTTGGGCGTTCAAATAGAAATGTTAATGTTTTATGAGCGAGATTTTAAATACTGTTACCGACGGCATACGGTTTTCATAAACTTTCATGCCTACGAATTGTCCCATTTGACTGCAAAATGCAAGTTACATCAGTCTGAATGGATTTTATTGTCTGCCTCGTCGTTTTTATTTAAAAAATCTATTTCGTGATCTTTTGGTCATTGAAGGAGCTCGATGAAGTTGATGCGCTTATGGTGTAACAGCCGGTAGAGTAGATGTGCTAATTCTTGAAATGTTACCTTAAATCCTGAAATGCGCTTTCGAATCTAAAAGACCACTTAAGTCGCGATGTAATATTAATTATCATGTAGTATAATCCCAAAATATTCAGTCACTTCAGGATGCCGGATTTTTGACCAATTGTGCTCAGGCCGACTGAAACAATACACTGTAAAAATGCGTACTTAATAAGTATGAGTGTTTTCATTGATTTTCGATGCCATATAAATTCAAATATACTTTATAAAAAACAGGCACAGGAATATTCGTTCTCGTACTCACTTGATAGAAAATAACGTCTTCAGATTGTTTACTTGACGGGAGGATATAAGTTTTTTATGACTGCAGAGTGCCCGTTTATGAAACTTCGTGTCTCCGTATTTACTGATGTTGCTTGTAAAGCTTACTTTATGGCTCAAATTCACCGTCAAATTTTATGCACCACAAACAGTCTCCCATTTATAGTGTTTACCTATATATGATTTTCCGTAGACGTAAAATACACAAATTTCAGTTTGAAAATCTTGGAAGCAAGTGTAATGGCATTTTGGGTTTAAAATTATTCAGGAATTGGAAAAGATTTTGTAGCTGAATGATACCCTGCCTCAAGCAAAAAGTTTGAAGAAGACGTAATTTTATACCAGAGGAGTAAAAGAGGTAAGAGGGGAATATTGTTGAATTTCTAACGGCATCAAAATCAATGAGACATTCGTATTAAATAAGAAGTCACTATTACCGTGTATAGTTCTTACAGGCTGTTTGAAAGACGTTTATTCAAAAGCCGCTATCCTGAAGTAACTGAAGTACCTTAGGAGTACGCAGCAAGTTGGTTAATATCATTGCCCTACTTAAGCAATTTTTCAAATAGAAAGCACATTTCAGAATTTCGATTACTACTTCATGCGTTAGCGCATCTAAATGTACGTCAAATGCACGAGTGTTGAGGACACTGAGAATAATAGCTTCAAAAAGCATAATAAACACTGCTGGCATAATGTAGTCCATACTATAGGCTTAGTCGTCTAAAGCGAAAGATCAGTTAATAATCCTAACAAGGTACCGGTGTACGTAGCTATCCAATGTTTGCGTTACATGATGGATCTTCCTGACTGACTGCAAGTCCAAAATTTTTTTCTGGTAAATTTTGTTGGAAAACGAAGGAGCCATGCTCAAACTGTGTGGAAGGGAATTGCAATTGAGAGATTCGAAATCTACAAATTAATTTTCTGATCGAACTGTTCTTTGTGAAAGTGCATCACAAGCAACGAGCATGTGGATAAACTGTATGTGTACTACATTTTTCGGTTGAAATCTTCTTTCAGTGATATCATTCAGATGGGCGTAACATTTCTGTCAGAGTGTTGGGCACACATGAGCCATCCTGGAGAATATCCCTTGTGATATCTGCAACTTTTGTTATTAGTGCGTTTCCATTTGAAAGTACATGGTATTCTTTTTTCACTTTAGTTGCAATCTGTAATAACGTTAACTTGATGCAGTCATCGTAATTTATTCTCTACCCTGATATTCTTGAGTTTACAACAAATAATTACAAAGTATACAAATTTATCCTGATTATTTTGAGTATTTTAATGTATCGGTTCGACACGGACACCAGTCGCGCGTTCAGCAAAAACAAGGTGCGGCTCCTAGAGGGTTCAGCTTTAAAGATCAAGAAGGCTACTCCGATGGCAAATGAGCAAAAAAATGCGTAACAGAGAGACGGGACTTAGCAAACCAATGCAAATGCTGATGCGTTTCCATGAAACGGTTCGTGAAAAATCGAATTTCGTGCTTTCCACAAAACGGAGTTTTTGAGTTGGAATATTAACCTAAAGAACGAGCTCCAAGAGGTTAAATTGAGTACTCCATAGGGTACTTTCATTTTTAGTTCCACGGGAAGTAATAAATATTGAAAGAATGCTTAAGCTGATTCTGTGCTTTTTTGATTTAAACTTGGCAGACGGTTGTCGTGAATTTCACTTGAAATCCGCATGTTATTCTATGCTAAACAACAGGTATCTCGATTGTGTAATTGCATTTGCATGCGGAAGATCTGAAGTACTTTATCTGGTTCACGCTGCCTGGGTTGTATGATTTACGTTGTATGAAGTCTTGTTAATAAGTGAAAAACAAGGTTGGTTGAACATCGAAACATTTTGCTTATTGTTCTGAGCTTTCGAACTTATGTGAGAGCCAGACTGATTAATCAGTTGACTGAGTTCTCGTCCGAGCTTCGAACTTCAGTCAATTCTCTGCGTGTTTTGTTTTCAGGGTAGTCGACTATTTTGGTGACTGTGAAGGTAAAAATCATGAGCAGTTTTAAAGCTGTGGGCGGTCACTTGTGACAATGCGTTGCCTGGTCGCACTGCCAGCTTATGTTCGCGTATGTGCGATCCGAACATTTGACCAGTCTGGCCGGTGTAGTTACAAGGACGGTTTTGGCACGAGATGCGATACACTATACTTGATTGTTCCTCATCCTTTAATCGGTCATTAATTTTCATGATCCTACTGCGCATGGTGGCTTTGGAGATGTGTGCAATTGCAACATCTAGCATAGCATCAATGCGCTCGGTCGCTTCTGAAACGCTCTTGGTATAACGCATGGTGGTGTTGATGTTTGGGCCCTCTGGGGTGAACAAGCAGGAAGAGACTTATGAATGCCTTCGATAGTCATTTTGCACAAATCAGTCATGACGGTGCTCGACCACCCTTCTTTTTTAGTTATACATGTACCTGGAACTTGAACTTTCGTTCTCATACTTGTCAGTCTGCAAGCATGTTTTGCCATTTTCTAAACAGTTCGAAACAAAAGAGCTGATTTTTTTATCTAAAAAATTCTTTTTGCGTAACTCTGTATACGTAGAGGCGCCGAAAACAACTCTTCGTCTATTAAAAATGGAAAAATTTCATTAAGGTGTGTGCATCTCGTCTGAACGTTATTCCTGAACGCTTACTTAGCCTATCCGTCTGTTCCTCATGCGTCCAAGATTGCAGACAGGAGGGGCAAATGGGTCTTTCGAGTGCATGACAAGGACAAAATTAAAACTTGTGCAAATAGTTGAGTGAAAATCAGGTACACTCAGTCTAGCGATACCAGAGGGTGCTACCCACAAATATCCAGTTTATGCGCATGCGTGGCGAACCGTGTAATAAATCTGTCAAATCATCCCCTCATGTGGCAACAGTATATGAATAAAATTACTGTTTTAAACATATTATCGACCAATCAGCCATTTTGTATCTAACTGAAGACAGACCACGCGATGGTCTATTTAAGACGGTTCCTGTGTTCGAATAAAAAGTAGTCTTGAAAGTGATGTCTCTTTTGTCTAAAGTAACTACTGACACAGCCCTAGATAAACAGGGGACGTTAGACTACTTATCTGAAAGATAAGAGTTGATGCCTTAAGTAATAGGACGTTGGCTTGTTCCTTGGAATGCCCGAATTTGAATCACTCTCTAAGGACACAACAATGCGTTTGTATGCTGATTGTTTAATTTGTCCTATCCCAATGCCATTAACCAGGTGGCTTACCTTTCAACTATGACTGAAAGAAGACGTATTATCGATGAATTGGTACAGTAGATGCGCTACCTCATGAAATGTCAACCAAAATTTCGAATTGCGTTCTCGTTTCAAAAAGATAAATTAAGTAGTGTTGTAAAACTAATCAAGATACAGCATAACTCTATAATGATCCAGTTACCTCAGAGTGTCGCCTTTCGAAAGAACTTATTTTCGGCTGCATGCAAAATCTATACCCTGCAAAAAGTAACTACTTATTTAGTATGCAATTTTTTCATTGATTTTCGATGCCCTTGAAAATTCAATTATATTTCATGGAAAACATGCATAAAAATATTCATTCTTTTCTTATTCCAATTTTATACTCAAAAGAAGAGTATAATTCGTTTTTAAAAACTTTTCTAATTCTTGAATAATTTTGAACCCGACCTGCTGTTACACTTGCATTCAGAGTTTCAAAACTACAAGCTGTATATTTTCCGTGTACGGAAAACCATGCATTCTCCTATGGTATTAAGAGGCGATTATATGGGGTTCATAAAATTAAGCAGTGAATTTGAGCCATATTGTTAAACTTACAAGCCACATTCGTTAATGCAGATATATGACGTTTCATGAACGACCATTTAACGGTATTAAAAAAGCTCACAATTATATTCTTCTTTTGAGTGTGAACTTTAAAGAAGACGTGGGTTTCTACCGAATAAGTAAACGAATGAATATTTTTATGCATGTTTTCCATGAAATATAAGTAAATTTTTAAGATCATCGAAAATCAATGGGAAAATTGCATACTATTTAAGAAGTCATTTTTTGCAGAGTATAGATCTTGCATGCAGCCGAAAATAAGTTCTTTAGAAAGCCGACACCCTGAGGTAACTGGACCATTATATATTTATGCTGCATCATGATTAGTTTTACAACTCTACTTAGGTTATCTGTTTGAAACGAGAAGCATTTCGAAATTTTGGTTGACATTTCATGAGTTAGCACATCTACTGTAAGTCGGCATCATATTTCTACTAAATGATTTCAAATTGTAGATAATGAGTTGACGCAGCTGTCCGAAATACCTCTCTTTCATCCATTTGCGATTTCTCGTTTGAATACACTTTTATTTTCTACAATTATAAGAGTTCCAATAGGCAGAACAGTTATCACGCATTTTGGGCACTAAATACATCTAAGAAGTCACGTCTTTTTGTACTACTTTTGTTATTCGACAAACTGCCAATGATTTTCTAGGCAAACCAACTTGTAAACGACAGGGAGCAAAGCGGCTAGCGTCTACTTTGGAGAAACACATACTGTCCGCTGGCTTGTGTCCCGGCGTGTGATCTCCAGTTCACAGATTTTAAATAAGTGCCTGCTATCATGCCCTAGATTAACGTCGCAGCTATGCATGCTCCCTGCGTTTAGCATTCAGGGCCGTGACCTCAAATGTTTGACATTAATGGTCTCAGTCGGTTGCGTGACACATACCAACATCCGGAGGTAAATATTTATATAAAATTAAGTGCACACACGACTTTTGCTTTGCGGCCCGTTGTGCGCCTGTAAATGATCTCTCGGGACACGTATGAATGACTTTCATCTCGAAAATGAAATCAACGACAGGCTCTGAAAGAACCTACTGTTTAGTGTCAGAATGACGGTAAGACTTCTAAGGACATTCTAGTCGTTAGATTACGTTACGACGATATCTATTGACATTTAGGCTGAACATGTGTGATCTTATAAGGGCAGAAGAAGGGCCGATCGTATCATGAGGCCTGGAAGGCGACGCAAAACGCAAGATAATACGAGTAAGATTTTTTTTTAAATCCTGCACGAAAAGTCCCGGCAAAAGAATAAGTGCAGATTTCCCTCTAAACACTAACGCACTGTTCGCCAGATCACCAGATTGAGCTCCAATATATAGCGAAGGAGCATGTTCTATAACATCTGATCTGGGCACCCCTGGAACGAAGATACATGGTAAGCTAAGCAAAAACTTTTCATTTCACCCATACGTCATTTAAGGTTCATTTGCAGGCACAGTTTAATATGTAGGGGTCAAGCACAGTATGCAACTCTCTGGAAAACGCATAATGGCTTTTAAAATGTTAAATACAAAATGCAAAATTAAGGAGAATTTATGTCAACTCTTTGGCACTGGTTAAAGAAGTACACACCCTGCTGGAGAATTTTCGCATCGCTAGGTTCATCTATTTTTGCGCTGTAAAATCAAATACGAAAATGTGTAACTCGTAATCAATAAATTCGTGGTGGTCCTTCCCCCATTTGGAAGATCTCTCTTCATGATTAACGAGATTCTTTTAAGTTAAGTAGTGGCCGCTGGCAGCGACGGCTAAACAAACCAGAATCAAAGAGCCAAACCGCGAGCATGGAGCTGGTGTTCAGCCGGTCACTGTGACTTCCGAGTTTATCCAGATTAATTTATCTATGAAGTGTTATAATACTGGGTTTTTCGCCAACTATTCTGCGTTATGTAAATTACGGCTTTGCCGCTGCCTTCCAATCCTTCTGCGACTTGCATAACGTCCTGCCTGCTTCATTGTTATGCCTAGAGGCATAGTTTTAGTTTAAGCTGCGGTTCATATCACATTAGACTTTGGTGCACACCACTGATTTTATTGTTACGATAAACAATTATATTGATTCTCGGAGAGACTGCATTCACTGTTGCAGATGAATGACTGGATATTTCACAAAAACGTTCGTTTCATTTGCAGCTAAACATGCGCGCATCTTCTTGCAAACGTTTCCATCAGAGAAAGCACCGGTTTTAACGTCCTGCTTTGAAGTACGGTCGTTAATCTTTAACGCCTAACTGACTAAAACCATAGATGTCGCAAGCTTGAGGCCGCAGTCTCGAACACTGACCACAGGCACCATGCATATTTGTGACATCAGTCTGGGCAGGATAACGGACACTTAAGCAAAGTTTGTGCAATCAACCCATCGCACAATAAGTGCACTTCCAGATTAAACGGCAAACATTTTTCTGTTTGTGATGTCTTAATTGTGCTCCTTAATAAACTTTTGCATTTTTGGAAGAATATTTATGGTGCACTGAAAACCGATTGTTCTAATCGTATTTGTTTGCCGACGTTTTTGATAACGTCTCCTGCCTTGACTAAACAGGATGCTCTTGTTATGCAATAAGGATTAAATAATGAATCGAAAAAAGCTAAACAATTGAGCGGAAATCATCAGTCCGGTATGACAAATCCAAATTTATTCAGCTGAAACATTATTCAGCAACTAGAACGCTGACAATGAGCCTCCGATTAAACGTAAATAAAATGTTAGCCCCGCAGTTAACGGTACTTAGTTTTGATCAGTAATCAACCCTATGCTCTTCTTGCATAACTGTTCATGAGATAAATCGATTTTATCGAATGCAAAAACAGAGTCAACATTCAGTACAGCCGGTTAACTGACAGTGTAGCGTCCATGACTACATACACGCATCCTGTTCTACAAATCATCAAAAACAACTTTATGAAAGCCCAGGAATGTAGTTTCCGTAAAATATTTGGGGGCAAAATCTCGCTTTTAACGCATCTTTATCGGCATCGTAGCATTTGGCACACAACAGTCGACCGTACACTGTAAAAAGCAAACGTCTGCTAAAAATTAATAATAATTACGCCACAAAGTGTATGTCGTAGGTCTACCGGTTGGCTCCGTTATATGCCTGGGTTATTTTGCTTCACAGCAGCGCACGTAACATACAACCGCGTTTCAGCTTTCCGTATAAAGATACTACTTTCCATGCCATGAACGTCAATACAATGGGATCGCTATAAAATCTATTTTGGTAATATCTCACATGCGGCCTTAATCAGGAAAATAAGCGCGTATGTCTGAAAGGCGCACGCGCTGCAGCGCCACAACTCTCTGATCACAGTCGGAGAAGATTATTACTGCCATAAAAGCTTTCTTGCCGACAAAGCACGACGCGGAGAGAATACTAAGCTCCAGTTTAATTGGCGTCATCATTCATAAATTCCATATATCCTCTGGAAACAGCATCGTCTTGAGTCATCAGACTGATGTGCCGTTGCAAGACTGGAAATTTTACTGTTTCGAAAAATCTTACAATCGGCCACTTTTTAAAGCTGTAAGATTTTTTTGACTGGTAAAAAATGTAAAGAAAACGTAATCTGCTATCATGGGATTACAAGAAATAATATTTTCGTGCATCTTCATTATAAGATGTAATGGAGTTCAAATGGCCACCGAAAAGGAATTTGCAGAATCCCCCCTACCTAAGTAGTCATTTTTGCAGGGTATTGATGTTTAGAACGATGGAGAAGAAACTCATTCAAAGGCTCATATGCTGCCGCGACTGGAATATCTTGTGATTATGACGCTAAATAGGTAGTATTGCAACATTATTTAGGTAAAAGTTTTTAACTAAATGCACATTTCAGCATTTTGGTCGGCGCTTCTTGCGCCAGCACATTAACTATGCAGAGAGTGCCCCAAAATTCTCATGTTGGCGACGGGAATGTGTAATTTGTCTTGAGTCATAGACCTCTACAGAATACCCCTGATTGCATATTAAACAAATGATGAAGAAATGCTGCCTTTTGACAGAATCACAGCTTTGTGTTCCGCTCCATATCTGAAAATTACAACCCACAGATCAATTTCGAATACTCCGTTTTTTAATGAAAGCACACCTTCAAAAGTAAGTAATTTAGGAGTTGCTCCTCTTCTACGCTAGACAAGCTTACTTCATCTCATGGGCACAAGCTGTGGTTTAGAGGCACAAAAAATGCTAGTCCACAATCCGGTATGTAAAGTATCTTTCGAACGTCATTTTAACAGTCATTTTTCTGGGATCCTACTTGAAGGTTTGGTTCGTAAATGATTTCACTTTGCCGGGTACTGTTTGCGTGGTCCTTATCCTAACCTTGAGTACATATTTGACGGTAACTTAATTTCACTTCAGAATTAACCGCGATCGTTTTAAGTTTTCATAGAATTCTTAATAGACAAATATTATTACTCTTATAATTTTCAGCGTTAATATAAGGATTTAATTTATTTGGACTGCCTGGTATGAATTGCATGGAAAACCACTCACTTTTTCTTTGATTTGCCAAAATAATTAAAAGGTTAGATTCGGAAAACAGAATTTTTCGAACCACATTTTGCAAACTACCTTTAAATCTTGTCGAAACTACCCCACGCAATATAAATTATCCTGTCTTCTCAAAAGGCGTTATTCCCTTAGTCTAGAGGGCTTCGCGAAAAAACCTTCAAACCTTTTCTGCGTGAACATAAATGTTTACGAATTCATCACGATTACCAGGAGACATTATACACAACACACCTGTTAAACGATGTCATGAATTATAATACTGAACAATTTACGTTTGCTTCACTTAAATTGAAACGAAATTGCATGCTATCTGCTTATAAACACGAGGTACGGTGGGTAGACTTTAAAGCAATTTAGGGAAAGTTGCGTAATATTATACTAAACGTGTCGTTGGCGGATGCATATATGCCTAATACGTTCCGTTTCGCAAAGGAAATAACACGGCGATTCAAAACCTAACCTCTAACATATCGGAATGAAACTTGCAAATTCAGTGGCAAATTGGTAAAGATTAGCCGGAGAAGGACTAAATGACAGAAATATTGATCACATCTGCCTATTCTCTAGGACATTTATTGAATTAGAACACGGCCAAAGAACAAAAAATTGGATTAGTTGCGAAGACATCTAAAGGAAATAATAAGCACAACAGTGCACTTAACAAGGCAATCAAGCGACGCGAGAATGGAAAATGGAACACGCTCGCAATTATCCATAAAAAAATTGGAGGAATTTCTTTCTCCTGTCTACAATTAGGCGGATTTCATAGAAAAATTGCGCAGTATGTCATCTGACCACCCAGTCAAAGCGACCTGAGCTCAGCACGTTGACAATGAACCCGGAACACTAATAAGCCTGCAAACGTTGCAATTTGAATGAAAGTGTTCTAAAGTCTCTCCTGCAATCACCAATGCGTAATGACCGTTTTGAATTATTAATATAACCAGAAGCTGCTTCAAATACGGACCGTTATCCGGGTGCGTTAAGCAATCTACTTAGAAAAATGGGCGAAATTGGCCATTTCATTAGAAAGGGAATATAGGTTTTGCAAGACGATGAATGCATACATTGGTGGATTGGCGCTCACCGATCGTTTCTACGGACCTCACTTGTTCCATTGTGCTTTACTCGTTCTCTCTCTCGAGCCCGACTAGCAGCCGTACAGTGGCGCATAATACACGCAGAATGGCATTACCGACAGTCTCTCTCGTCCTTGTCGATAAGATCATAACGTTTACATTGTAAGAAGTCCAAACATAGGACTTCGAAGCAACAGTGACACAAAGTCTTCTAGAGCATAATTTTTTGTCGTCTTCTTGAAATGGCATTGTAAGTGGTTTTGTCCTCTTCCCTCGTCTTAATGTGCCCGCCTCGTCTCACAATGCGAACTAGAATAGTACCGCCATTTGCAAAAGGTTTCTCGAGAAGTGACTGATTAGGGAATAGAATTTAATAAAAGTCGCAGAGAATTTTTTGTGCTAATTACGTTTCTTCTATTTAAGAGTTACGAAATAGAGAACGTTGTCTGTAATTGCAGGGGTTCATCGTTTTACATAGCACACCAGATCATTTGAGTTTTGGACGGCTCCCATACCGTCGCTCTTCATGCCATTATGCTTAATGTTTACTAGGCCGCATCTCCCAGGCTTTCAGCTAGACCGGTCGTTTCTCACATCTCATCCTCTCTCAAGTGAGACAGCAATAAATAAATCCTTCTTCGTGCAATACTAAACTATCCTTTGTGTCAGGTGTGGGAAAGTTGGCACGTGCTACTGGTGGCTGGCATTTCACCGCTGTTTTAGGCATTTTACAGGCAAATGAAAGCGAACCCCTGTTTGGCTAACAACTTTTTTAAAACTATCTTTAATTAAAAAATAGTTGCATTCATACAGGACTGGATGGATCCCGAAGCAATAAAGGTCACGATTAAACTACCACTTGCGAGGTCGAGCGATGACGGCAATGCTGGTAAATTGTTGCTATCTTATATTCCCTTAATTTACAGTGAGTGACCGATCACATGAAATGCTGGCCGAAATTCTGAACTGTGTTTTCGATTAGGAAGGGTTACTTAGGTTTGGTTGTAATATTGATCATCCTGCGGCGTAATTTTGTAGAATTTTAAACCCACCAGGATGGCAGCTTATGTATGCAGTTCCCTTTCACCTACTGCTGAAACCATATTTGGGAAAAATGACTGCTTAAGGAGCATACACTTTTCCCATTGATTTTCGTTGGTCTTTTTACTTTTAATATATTTTATAGAACTCATGCCCAAAAATATCCTTTTCGTTCATTCAGTTGCTAGAAAATCACATTGTCTTTAATGTTATCCATGAAGAAATGTCACACAAAGGCTTTGAAAGTCTTCTTACGTCCGAATAAACCAGAGCCTTTGCATGAGCGTTTAACGATCTTAGCCTGCAAGGCGCGCGCTTCCTGCGTAAAGAAAATTATAAATCTCTCTTTTCCTTTAAGAACAAATCATATATAATTTTTAAAATTGTGCAATGGATGCGAACCATTTTTGTACATTTCATGAGGAACTTTGGTAAGCAGACATGTTTTATGCTGTATCCATGGACAACGCACGGTCTTAACAATCCCATAAGAGACATTTATAAAAGCTTAGAGACAATCTTTCTTGGGGTTGAAATGCAAAGACAATGCTGTTTACTACCAAACAAGTAAAAAGGCGCATTTTGTCTGTAAAATTATTTGCATTTGTGAGGCCATCGAAGATCAATGTGAGAACTGTATTCTGTTTAAGTAGTCATTTTTTGTTGAATGTCGTTTCTGTAGAGGGTGAAAATGAGGTGTAATCGATAGCCTCTATTCTATCAATTTTGAAATATTATTGAATTATGCCGTATTTTAGTTGATATTAAAAATCCATCTAAGTAATTCTTCCTAATCGGACACGCATTTCAGAATTTTGGCCAACATTTCATGAGGTTGACCACTCACTGTAAGTCAGCCTTATCCCTTACAACCATTCGGGGTCAAGAAGACCACTGTGCAGGGACTGCAGAGATGAGTGCGCCATAAACATTTCCGCGTACAGCACGTCGTTTGTCCCGAGCGCCGTGACATTCCCTGCAGCCATAGATTTGTATTCTGTTATGTTCAGGAAGGAACCATGTATTATTGCATTCACCAGAAAAAAATCACATCTCATTTGAAGTCATTTAAAATGCCATCGGTTTACTCGGTACTAATTGATTGTAAGACCCAGAAGTAGGTGGCAGCGACAAAATTATACTCTAAACCTACAGAATGCACACTACACGTCATTTCTGACGTTTATCCAAACGACTGATTTAATCTCACAATCACACTCTCGGACCATTTATTGGTCTGCATTTCTGTAACAACACCGGACACCTATGCTGATCCTCCTTATTCCGCCGCGCTTAATGTTTACTAGACTGCATCTCAAGGGCATTCAGATGCACCGGTCACTGTTCATATCTCACCCTCTATCAAATTAGTCGTTCATGTTACGATCATTGCTTGTAAACTGAAAACAAGCCCGTTAGGGGAGGTGGTACTCTCTACCGGTGCCTGCCGACTCGCAGCTACTTTGCGCTTCTTACAAACGAGCGATCATCCATGCAATTAACGTATGTCTTACCTTCTACACATCCTCATCAACACTTAGAGTTTTTGCGTTTAAAAACACCTTCAGCATTTTTATTTATTGCAGTCATCTTTAGTGCACTAACAGAGCAATTTGCGTGGATTCGTCCGTTGCGAAAATCTGAGGCTGTCTGCATACCTGACGAAGTTTCTCATCTAAATCCCCTTCAAAGTTCGACTAGAAATAAATTATCACTAATCAAAATTCTGCAATCTCTTAGCCTACTGTCACTTTGGAGGCGACAGTAAACACTAAGTACACTCAAGAATAAAGTGAAGTTTGCAAATATTGTCTGATACTGAAGGTCACGCAACCATCGTGGCTAGCAACCCGATGCTGACTTTGTCGTCTGCAGGCCTCCCAACTACGTCCGTCAGACACATCTTTACTTCAATCTACCCAAGACGCAGTTAGGTCCACAGTGGCGTAATTGCGCAGTTCTCTACATCCAGCCCCGAGGAACTAGCACATAAATCAGGACAAAATGTGTAGACGGTTTGGTACAAAACGCAAATAAATACTCGTTATAATTTCAAACTGAAGCGAAAATCTCATTCTCTTAGATATTTTTTCTCAAGCACTTAGGCTTTCAATGTATCCGCAAAGAAAATATTTTTAAAAGATGAAAGGTGAATTGAGTGACGTCGCATTACTCTTAAAAATGGAGCAACCTCAAAAGCAAACTGTGCATATGCATACTGGTCATCCAGCTATTCTCTTCTAGGCTATCTGCGATGTGCATTATGCAGTGCGTACTCTGTGCGCGATTTCGTAATCACAACCAGGGTTATTGGGCTCTCGAATTATTATTCACCAGCATATGAACTTAACATTTCAGATATTTTATTTGGAACAAAAATGTAATTTATAAACTCACCTTTTGCTGCTAAAATGCTACTGCGACGAAATTCAGCCCGCCTGGTATTCGGCAAACAACCGGCCTTCATATGGTGACTCTCTGACGGAAACAGTACTGTTGTTTTCGGTTGCTCGACAAATGAGTATACTCATGATTATCTGAATGTAAAATGAAGATTTCGGTGCCAGAGGTTCAGTGCGTGACAACAAGGGCATCCTCTATTTGCAGCCCCGCTCGTTTACCATCTCATTTTCCTCAGACATCCCCTACGGGACCATTTCCCTCTTGAAAGGAATTTCTTTGACGTATTTTTCCATGAACTATCTGACAGTGGCATTGCATTTAGTTCCGTTTGGCAGAAACTGCATGCCGATTTTCAATAAAAACGGTTCCAAAAGTTTATTTGTGTTACTATTCGCGATGACACTTGGGCATAGATGTGCCGACGTTTTGTATAAGTCTCAGGACGTCCCACACACACTCTCTAGATTATGTACGTCACCATAAAGTCTGATTAGTCATCCTATCCAGTTTAAAGTCCGAATGACATTATTTCAGTCAGCTGTGCAGAAAAATGCATTTTCACATCGACTGCGTTATTTCGTAGATGAATAGCATGTGATCGATGTGTTATTTATTGGAGTATAAATTGCATGGTTTGCTTGCAATATTCACGTGGAAACTGAGCCTGTTTCTCGCAGGAAGCAGCTTTAATGCGCCTTCCATGACTTTAATAACTTTATCTTGTCCCACCTTACTTCTTTCCCAAGATGTTGACAGGTATTTCAAATTTTAAATGGTTGCGCTTTTTACCAGGCATGTAAAATCCGAGGCACTGTAAGGCTGAAATTTAAATTTACTTACGTAGTCACCTTGACCCGGCGCTAGACGAGTTAGCTTAGAAAGCGGAAATTCGAACCGTAAACGCACTCTCTCAGCAGACAGAGTAGGTAAACTCGGCTTTCAAGCTTCTTTTATAATAGTTACAGCAAAATGTGAGTCCTTAAGTTTTCAAAACTTTAATAAACAAAAGACAATGGAAAATGCCCAGAATATGCACAGTAATGTATACCAAACGGTACATAGGCCGAAGAGGGAAAAGTAAAAATCATTCAAAATGCTAAATGGGGTTAAAACAACGCCTGATGATTAAAGGTCCTCTTTAATGAAACAAATTGCTAAACCGTATCCTTTCCTACATTACGCTATGCTCTTAGCCTCCAAATTGCACACCGAATTTGAGTACTACGTGTCAGCACCATTCTCTGAAATCCCGGTGCTTTTTTGACCTAACTTTATTTGGCAGCAACCAATTTTCAATCCATCCTTTTGAAGTTTGCGATTGCACTAAAGTCGTTTTTGCTATTCCCCCTCCCTCCCGCCCCTTAAACGAACTTTTACAGCCATATCTCTACTGATTTCTCTGGCCACCTGGGGCGATATTGCCACACACACGCCCTCCAGTGTGCTTCGTCGTCGGCGTACCAACCAACTCTTAAAGTACCTTGAAATCCTCCAGCGTGAAGTCTATGAGAACCGAACCGCTCTGGTATCGTTTTTGCGACAGCAGTTGAAAGTCCAAAGGGGGACAGTGCAATCCGATGGCGGGGACCTGCCTAAACTGTCTGCGCATCTCCAACTTAGCTGGCCTTTCTGGGTGGCTGTTGTGGCCGAATTTCTCCTCTCCATTGCCATTCTCCTCTTTCTAATGCGCCGGGACTGCAAGGTTCCCCAGACTGCCTCGGCCTGATTGCTCTTCCTTTAGCCGTTCTGGCATGCCTTGTCAAGTGACGTCTGACCTAACTAAACTTCAGCCTTATTTGCCCTTATGGGCTTTCCATTCGCTGGTAATCGTTGCTAGTCATATTATGATGTTTTTGATTTTTATGCACATTCGCTTGCGTGTTTTGCTTTGGTCCAAGGATTTGCTAGGACGTGTCGACGTTAGTACGTAAGATTAGCCTGTAATTTACTGGTTTAACTGAAGTTTAAATGCACGCATGCAAGTTAACTTTAAGGACTGCTACTGATAGCGAAAGTGACCTTGTAATGATAACTGCCAACTTAACTTTCAACTTCAGAGCTTCCTTAAGAGCACCAACGCAAAAATGTTCCCAGTTCTATTATACAGTAGAACCAGGCTCGGGTCTAAGCAGCTTCTAAGAAAACTTTCATAGTACTGGCGCTGATAATTGTCAATTTGTGTTTGATTCAAAGCTAAAAATCTTCAGTCCATTCAGGCGCTTGCATGGGCACCACGGACCTATCATTGAAAAACAGTTAGCAAATGTCACGGGGGTTTATTGTCGAGTAAACTTATACGCATGTGTAATTTCCGGAAGATAACCAAATGCGTGGACCTTTGTTTTGATAGTTTTGTCGAAGCACCAGTCAAGTTTGTATAAGGCAAAGGCGACAAAGCATGAAAAATTTAAAGACGTCATAAATTTCGAGACCTCTCATTCAGCTGAACACGGTCATTGCATAGTTATATGACAAGGCAAACTGTTCAATCAACGATCGACCTAGAGAGATAAAACGTGTTACGTAACCTGAAGCATGGGTCTAGTATGCGGGTGCATATGGCGAGGGGGGGGGGGAGGGGGAGAGAAGTCATCCAAGTATGAGAGAACTTGTGCGGCTTGATTTAGAGTGCAACGTGCGGGGAGCATTCAGTCATGCCGGGGAGAGGGGGGCGGGTGGGGGCGAAATGAGAGGGCGCACATGGGAACAGGGTTTCGTCCATAATCGATAATTACCATGACAGTGCCAGGTTTATTACACGGTCCAGCTGCTTACAGAGTTCTGGTTTCTTCCTCCGTATTGCAGCGTCCTCTGCAAAGCGCAAGATACGCCCGGTCGTCGCCCGAAACAGGACCTTGAATGCAACCATTGGGTCCACCTTGTGGCCCGTGTCCACTAGGTGCTTTGTGATTGAGCTCGTGGGTACCGTATTTTCCGCCTTAGGCAGCCACTTCGGCATTTGTTCAGCTGCCCGAGCTACCAACTGCCTTTGCGTGCGCCCAATGTACTTGCATCCGCAACTACATGTAAACTCATAAATACAGTTTGATGTGGCGTGCATACGCAAAATGTCTTTAGCTGGTCTAATTGGGATGGCGGTGGTGGTGCTTATGAACAACAATTTAGAGGCGGCATACGTCCTTTCGATAGTGCACCAAAGTCGTCGCTTGATCACGTTTGACACGTTATCACCCTTGAAGGGGAGGTAGATGGTCACGGACTTTTTAGGTACGGATATTTCTGCAGGAGTTTCTTGTCTGGGATGGCGATATTTATCGATGAATTTCTCCGGATACCCATTTGCAAGAAAACGTTTTTTAGGAAAGAAAGCTCGTCATCGATCGTATCTGAGAAGCAGATTCTGGTGGCTCTATTAAACAGGCACAAAACCAAGTTCCGTTTTCTCTGCATTGGAACGAAACTGAGGAAGTGCATGTATTGTCCTTTCCAGGTGGGTTTTCGACGGATGGATCTCTGAATAGAGCCATCTGCCCGCCTACGCATAAGAATATCCAGGAAAGGCAGTGTGTCATTCTTCTCATGCTCGATCGTAAATTTGATCTTTGTATGTGCTTTGTTCAGAGCCTTGAGTAGTAGTTCTCCGTCGCCTGCGTTTTTGACTATAGCGAAAATGTCATCCACATATTGCCTATAGAATGAGGCTCGTTGTAAGTTCCGAGCTAGTTTACGCTCTAGATTAGACATAAAAATGTCCGCTAGGACTGGCCCCAATGGACTGCCCATAGCTACACCGTCGATCTGTCGATACGGCCGCCCGTTGAACAAGAACTGTACATACTTTGTGCATATCTGTAGTAGTTCCCGCAGTTGCTCTGGTGGCAGGTGTGTTTCACCCGTATGCTCGCAAATTATGTCAATTGTTTCATGCAGTGGCACGTCAAGCGAGATCATGTTTTTTCAGTAGATTCTGATTCTTAAGCTCATCTACGAAGGAGAAAGTATCTTTGGTAGTATAAACAGCAAGGTTGCGTCTGTTACTGTTACTTACTGTTAGTTTTATCTTTTAAATTGGCGGCATAAACGGCAATTAGCCGGCTGAATATGAGGCAACGACATTTCTATTTAGCAGGCCTTCATACAACCAGATCCGTCTACCGGAACCACATATGTGCATATTTTTCGGATGTTTTCATGGTGTTCATGAGTGCAGCATACCTAAACAGCAGTTTACGCATGGGTGATAATACCTAGCCCAGCAAATAAGCATATACCAAAATCGGTTAGCGATGCCATGGGAGCTGAAGCATATAAAGGTGTCAAATAAACACGCGGATGAAGATTCTTCACCCACTTTCAGTCCTTTGACTCATCTAGCTTTCATCCGTCTGACTTCTTTGCCCCCATACATTTTCCTGTACTTTAAAAAAACTTATAATTAATTTTGGAAACTGCCTGTTGTTTTACTTTGACTATTTAAGTAAAGAATGCTTAGATGTTTCCAGGTAATTGTGTCCATTGTACCCTGTATTGCGCGGCTCCTTTTGCTTATGAAAATTAGATGATTCGAACATTGACAAGGTTGCAGTGACAGGTGGAATAAATCATGGGATGGTGTACAACAGGTGTACAAACAGTAACGATTAGTTTGGCACTAGAGAACACCTCTGAGAGCTAAGTGAGTTCGAATTTGCCCAGATCTATTGAGAAATGTAGTTATTTTTCACCGTTGAGTTTTTTTGTCCAAATGACAAAATCGTGTTTGGTCTTTGATGCTACTCGTAAAATCGGAGTTCTTACAGGAAAATAAATAATGTTGTTAAAAGAAAATATGATAGCACCTAGTGAAAGGTGCAGAAACGTTTGTTGTTACTTGTTCAGGAACTCGATAATGTTTTATGTAAAATATTAATGATGATAGGCAGGAGAAAGCACCTGCTTAGAAACCTCACAAACGGTAGAATCAGAGGATTTATTTAAAAGCAGGTGCTTATTCTAAAGATGCCGGGCGAGCGATGGACTTCATATCGGTACATTACTAGGCGGTGGGTTGAGCGCTGTTGGGCTTTGTAAACCTTATAACAGCTTGACATCGATTACCGATGATGTGCACCGTGTGACCCACAGCAAGTTAGGCACAGTGACGGTGACTTGTGCATAAATAAGTTTATAGCAATGATAGACCTGCTTTGTATCCATCACAATCTCTCCTCCACCACATTCCTAAGCCCGGTATCGAGACAAAGTCACAGAGACAGGGGCGAGATCGAGCGCAGTGATCGCTAGAGCTAAGCGGTCCGTCTACGACTGCGACATGGTTTGGTATACGCACGATGAACCCGGATTTTGCATAAACAGTAAAATGGACGGCGCGAATCTCAACAGAAAGGGGAGGGCCACCGAGGCCGCATTAGGAACGCCCCTTTGCGGCCTGACTCTCCGTTCTCAGAGGAGGACCCAGCTATCCCGTCAATGGGCGGCTCTCAAGTCGCGGTTTTAGCACACTAGGATGGATTGAACTCGTGTCTGATTGGTTATAGGGACAAATATGCGCTGTATCCCGGTTAACCATCTAGTGAGATTATCAAAAATAGTCCTCATTTGAAGTGAACATAAGAGATTGACAAAAAAGGCGACAGACAGGGATAAGATAAGTGGGTAGGCAGGAGTTCTTTTTCCTTCATATCGTAGCCAGACAACTGCCGATTATGACATTGTTATCCACAGGAGCTGAATTTTTTGACGTTGATTTTTGAGTCGCTTCTCCTCCGACTGCCTTTATTTGTAACTCTAGACATACTGCTGAGGATGGGCACGAGAAATATTTTAAAATTAAATGAAAAATCGCTGAGTAGTTAGATGGAGATTCTGTATCTAAGAAATCGAAGTAAACCACAAGGTTTTCTAAGAATAACAAACTTGTCAAAGCACCTGTTGCATGGTTCCAAATTCTTATTTTGCCATAGCGCATATGTTGGTCGGGCAAATCGAAGGAAATGCGAATGAACAAACTTCCAAACGGTTGTACTTCAGCGCAAATGTAGGCTACTCAGTCCATCCCTCTATTCAGTCTCGTGCTGGAGTCTGTTAAAGATTAGAACTCATTCTTTTTAAAGCAGGTATCATATAGCGTCTAGGAGGCATAACTCGCACATGTGACCATGCCACATGTCCGGGTGTTGGAAGCAGCCGTGAATTAAGTACTTCAGTAGACGTGCCCAGATGTGCACACACGCGATTCGCAGGTACAGCAAGATTACTAAAGGCGGTGTCAAGAGACGCTTTGACGATGAACAGTTAGTCGAGTGTCCTGTTGATATACAATAGATGTGACAACTCTCGAAATTTTAGTCAAAATATCGAAATGCGTTTTCGACTCAACTTACAGTACCTCATCATTTATCTACTGAAGTAGTTGATCTGGGTACAAGATGTCAGCCGATAACAGTTGACTTGCCTGTGATTGCAATTGACTCGACGTGTCGTGCGATTATTATAAGTGTTCATCAGCGAGGCAACTTCTTGCTTGTTTGCTTAGAGTCCCAGCACTTATGGAAACTTATAGCTTAAAATAAGAAAGTCGTACGAACTTCTGTAAATGTCCTTGAGAATCTCAGTATCACAGTTCCCATCTGTTTGCTGAATTTCATTTTTCAATTTAAAAAATACCAACTGTCGGTCGTCTCGTCACTGTCAAATGCATTTCCAAACTTTCTGAGGGGATATTTATATCCGCTGACAATACTTTTACACATTATTGCAAACTGA